ATCAAGTTTTCGTTGCAGTGCAGTCTTGTACGCAAAAAAAGAGGCATCATACCCTTCGAAAGTGCCGCTGGTGTTGCGTTAGACAACTTTTTAACTTTATCGCAAGCCTACCAGAGTAGCACTTTCTTTTTCTTGAGAAAGTGTCCTCATTATTTCTTTGTTGTTTTTTTTTTGGAAACGTGGCGTTTGTATTGGCTCCTGTATTACGCCGCTGTTGGGCAATGTTTGTTCATTTAGTGTTGATCGGCTGCCTTTAAGCAGGACAACACTATAAATATTGCGAATATCTTTATGTATATGGACGGCGTTTGAATCCTTCTACACAAGGCTACTTGAACCATTGCGATGATGTTTAAATATCTTCAAGATTCACTGAAAATGATTGGTATTACGCAAGAATTGCTACTGCGGAACACCCCAGAGTTGTCATACTTGAAGGAAAAAAAAACATTTCATAACCGACAAACGTGTTGGCAATATTTTCCGTGTTCAACGGAATAGGTGATGCCGCACGTTTATTGCCAATCGAATTAAATTTATCAAGCCCGGTATCGCTATGCTCTGCCCGGGGTCTCCTCTCCAAAAATTGTGTACGCACGTGAGGCAGGCGTCGTTTGACAATCATATCGAGTGACTTAAAGCTGCGAGCTTCACTGACTCGTTATTACCTGCAGTCTCCGAAACGCTTTTACGGAAAGCAAAGGAAAAAAACGTACTACAGACGCCACATGAGATCTCGAAGATACTGCAGCCGTAAGAGCTGCCGGTATTCTCTATATCCATAAGGTCTCCAATGACCTGAAAAAGGTCCGTCTGCCTCGGTGGAACAGTGCTCGGCTGCTAACGCAAATGTTGCATGTTCGATCCCTGCCACAGCGGTCGCATTTCAATCGAGGCGAAATGGCTGAATTCCGTGTGCTGTGCAATGCCAGAGCACGTTAAAAAACACCAGATGGTCAAAATTTCCGGAGCCCTTTACTCTCTCATAATCAATGCGTGATTTTGGGACGCAAAACGCCAGATATTATTGTTAACCTGAAAAAGGTTGCAGGCCGGCATGGGGTAAACATTGTCTTTTTCCTCCGCGTTAAGATTGCTCAGTTGTGCCAGACAACGTTTCGGGAGGAGGCTACTCTGCAGGGATGCGGCAAAAAACTTTGTACGATGTATACGGGACATGTGACACAGGCGTGGTGTAAATCTTCCTTTATTGTGGCTAATCGTACATTGGGCTGATGGGGCGCTGAGTAATTGAACGAGCCAGGCAGCATGATCTAAATCTAACGAGAGATGGCTTAGGGCACTTGCGTATGCATTGTGAAGCCTGAGAGTGTCAACAATGTTTTAAAGAGAAAGAAATTTAGATAATAGTCATATCAGACTGCGCGTGAGTTGATGGAAACGTACCATATAAAAATTGGCAGATCCCACGTCATTCATTCACGTACTGTAATAGCAAATTTGGTATATGTGACGCTACTGAAACAGCCCCGAGCGCATCATGAGCGTGGTATGTAGTCATGTTGTCACATTACACGCATGTCATGATTTTCATGTTAGGGTCTGTCGCTTGTGTGCGCCATGCAATCATGCCATATTATATCAGTTTTGCAACATTCCATATGAACGAAACCACAGCAACGGCTGCAGGACCATCAAATGTAAATCATGACATACATGACATGCATGCCATGATTTTTATTTTATGACTAAACAAATATGTTCCTGATACAATGATGTTATGCCATACCAAGTTTGGTATTGATACCATTATTGAAATGGCCAGGAGAGCTAAAAGTCGAAGGCGGCTAGATAGATAGATAGATAGATAGATAGATAGATAGATAGATAGATAGATAGATAGATAGATAGATAGATAGATAGATAGATAGATATAGATAGATAGATAGATAGATAGATAGATAGATAGATAGATAGATAGATAGATAGATAGATAGATAGATAGATAGATAGATTGATTGATTGATTGATTGATATGTGGGGTTTAACGTCCCAAAACCACTATATGATTATGAGAGACGCCGTAGTGGAGGGCTCCGGAAATTTAGACCACCTGGGGTTCTTTAACGTGCACCCAAATCTGAGCACACGGGCCTACAACATTTCCGCCTCCATCGGAAATGCATAGATAGATAGATAGATAGATAGATAGATAGATAGATAGATAGATAGATAGATAGATAGATAGATAGATAGATAGATAGATAGATAGATAGATAGATAGATAGATAGATAGATAGATAGATAGATAGATAGATAGATAGATAGATAGATTGATTGATTGATTGATTGATTGATTGATTGATATGTGGGGGTTTAACGTCCCAAAACCACTATATGATTATGAGAGACGCCGTAGTGGAGGGCTCCGGAAATTTAGACCACCTGGGGTTCTTTAACGTGCACCCAAATCTGAGCACACGGGCCTACAACATTTCCGCCTCCATCGGAAATGCATAGATAGATAGATAGATAGATAGATAGATAGATAGATAGATAGATAGATAGATAGATAGATAGATAGATAGATAGATAGATAGATAGATAGATAGATAGATAGATAGATAGATAGATAGATAGATAGATAGATGGATAGATGGATAGATAGATAGATAGACAGATAGATAGATAGATAGATAGATAGATAGATAGATAGATAGATAGATAGATAGATAGATAGATAGATAGATAGATAGATAGATAGATAGATAGATAGATAGATAGATAGATAGATAGATAGATAGATAGATAGATAGATAGATAGATAGATAGATAGATAGATAGATAGATAGATAGATAGATAGATAGAAACGCTCAAAGTCGCCGAAGTTCGCTAAGAAATGCTTCGCATTTAAAAACGAAAGGAACGAGTATCCGTCATGGTCTGTTGCCTTGTACGTATCGGAAAAGAGATTGTTTGATAACTGGATAGCCGAGGTTGCCATGATACTGCGCATGCCTATTGTCTATTTGTTTCTGTATAACACCCTCAACAATTCAGTCGAAAGTCTCACTCATAGTGTCTTCGTGTTCCTACCTTTTTGTGTGTGCTCTAATTCGCAGCTAAATTACTTATTTAAGTAATAACTAACTAGGACAGCTAATAGTCTTTCTAAAAGGCATTGTCTGGTCATGACCGTGGACATTAAAGAATTACGTCAGAGGTCGAATACTTATAAGGCAGAATTTATCCCCCCCCCCTTCTTTTTATTTACCCCTGCCCCTGCCGCAGTGCGCACGCATATGGAAGAGCAGAAGCAGGTGAGAGTTTTCTTCTCACGTTTTTCTACTTACCCAAACAGGTATTAGTACAGAGCACGTAGTAAACAATGCTTGTCACCCTTAGCATGTATTTACCATTTGTATATCTCTTTTTTTATTCATTTCTCTCTCTTTTTGGGTAAGAAAGGGCTGCTGAATGGTTCAGGCATCGGCCCATTGCCGCCGAGAAATGGTGCATGGTGAAACCACCGGCGTCTAATCATCCGCAGCGAATGGAACCCTGCTAGTACTTCTACACGTCGTTTAGCAAAAGACCGGTGTGCGTTTTGCCTGTTACGGCTCTAGTTCCACCTCAATAAACCGTCGCCTATACCATCGACGAGCTGACGGGCAGCTTACAAATATCTATGACACATTTTTTTTTTCTTTTTCTCGCGCTAATGGCAGGGCTTGAACAACGTCCCCATTGCACCAACCAAAATGATGGTACGGCCAGTTGGCACGACGTTCGAGGGTCTGTGATAAATAACAAATGCGATGTCTTCAGAAGGAAGCAAGGGTGCTGGCGCCAGGCTCATTCGACGAAAGTGAAAGTAAAACCTTCTAAGAAATATGATGGAGGTGAGAATGCTGTAGGCCCGTGTGCTCAGAATCGGGCGCACGTTAAAAAAAACCCTAGTGGTCAAAATTTCCCGAGTCCTCCACTACGGCGTCTCTCATAATCATATGGTGGTTTCGGGACGTCAGACCCCACATATCAATCAATCTAAGCAGTATCAATTTTGTGCTTTTATAAGTATTACACCGGTCCAAATAAAAATAAAATACAGTGAATTCGAAAGGACAGGCAACAATAGATGTTTTTTCTTCATGCTCTGTCAGCAGATTGTTCCGAAAAATAATATTTCCAGGAAATGACGCCAGTCTGTAATATTTCCCGGAAGTGACGCCTGTCTGTTACTACTGTGTGTGTGTCGAGAACCGCGTAATGCGTATTGATGAAGGGCAGTGGTATATTATGAGGGGGGTGGGGGGTGGGGGGTGAAGGTGTCTTTTTTGCTACACAAATGTTTTAATGTTGCAAGTGTATATACGGGCACACAAATAACACGCGTGAACGAACATACATAAAGTATTTGGTGGACCCCCCTCCCCCTCCATCTTATTGAAAAAAAAAAATTGCTTGACTTCTGGTCGAGCACCACGGTGCTAAAGAAACACGTTAGTTCTTTGAGACAGATCCGAAAATATTCTTTAATCACAGCATTACGAGTTGTAAGCGTGGTCAAGGTTAAGCTACTGACAATTTAAAGCTGTTGAAAACACTTGTTGGAACTGTCAGAGAGGCATCAACCGTGACAAGCCACGGTTCTGTGCAATCGCCGACAGATGAGAACACATGAATTTGCTTTATTTGCGGAGCGCTTTCCATCCCCTCAAAACACCTCCTGTGGTGTTTTTATGTGTTATAACTTAATTCATTAAGTTCACAAGTGTAAATGTACGACACTCTTTTTAATTTCCGATGAATTGTATTAGAAATTGTGGCCCAATTCGCATAGGCATTACTGCATAAGTAACCTTTTATTATTACCGCTGACACCGTTTATGGTAATGAATAAATGACAGTTGAAAAGTTTAGCTTTCTTTGAATGCACTTTACAGGGGATGCCTATAGAAATATGAGAGTGAAAATATTGCAACACGATATGAAAAAAAAAGACACTCACGCACAGACATCAAGCATTATAACAAGCTACACCACAAAAATCAGTATTTATTATTATCGCTCAAGCATCAGCTGCTAAGCCAGCAACATAACAGAAAGCTGAGATGAATAACACATCGTCAACAATCTGCTACATAACGTGAAACATGTGATATACGTACTAGGATAATTATTGTCGTCATCGTTATCGTCACCTGTCTATCTAATGTCAGTTCCAGCACGGTCCTTCTCAATGACAACTTCTATTAAACCTTCTATCCCGCTTCGTCCTCTATTTCGTCGTGTTCAGCATCGTGTGCAAGAGGCAGCTCTGGCATCGCCGGTGCTCTCTTGGGATCGGGTGCCCTGAGCGGGCTCCACTGCGTGCGAAACGAGGCGGTGCCTCTCTTGGAAGCCGAGGAACGCGTCAGGTGACGCCAGACGCCGCGCGCTCCACGCACGGTGGATCCCGAGCCTCCGTTGAACGCCAAGTAGATGTACGGGTTGAGGGCGCTGTTGGAGGCCGAGATGACGCCGAACACCGCAGTCGCGTGCGGTCCGAGCGACACGTGGGGAGCGAAGGCCAGCAGCATCTCTTGCACCATGTACGGAAGATTCGTCACCAAGAAGGCCAAGGATATGATGGCCGCCATCTTCAGCGTCCGCACGCGCGCTTTAGGCAGCGTGCTGCGGTCTGGGTGGCAGCCAGGAGAACTAGCGACGTGCTGAGCGCGCAGCGATGGCGGCGGGGTCATGGCGGCCACTTTCCACAAGCGAAATAGCACACTCGCGTAAAGGCCGACCAGTGCAACCAGTGGCAGGACAAACACGAGAGTGAAGACGAAGGCCATGTAGATCTGCCGCACAGCGTTGTAGTCCCGGTACACGTAGAAGATCGAGGCGCAGTAGTGTTTGCCCCGAACTGCGACGAGACGGAACGCGAACAGGTTCGGCACGGATGGTATTAGAGAGAGCAGCCAACAGGTTGCGGCCACCAGCCGAGGTTTGGGTGCCGGCGTCAATGGACTGCAGATGGCGAAGTGGCGATCTACGGCGATGCCCACCAGCATGTAGGTGGACGAGACGAGCGCGTACGTCTGCAGCACCTTGAACATGCGGCAAGGAATCTCGCCGGCGACCCACACGCGTCCCACAATCTCCCAGAGGAGCTGCGAGTTCATTGTGATCAGAGTGACCAAAAGGTCGGCAAAGGTCAAGTTGAGAAACAGGACTTGCGTCTTGATCAACCGCCGGCGTCGGGACGTCAGAAGCCGGTAGCAGACGAACGAATTGCCGACGAGAGACAGTACGAGCATGGCGCCGATGACGGCGATTCTCAGGGTGCTCGCATACTGAGGACCTAGCACGGCGTCTTCTGTGGTATCGTTTTCCGCCGTCGTCTCATTCTCGTGTTGGACGGCCGAGGACGAAGCGATATCGAATATCCCGGCGGAAACAGCGCTACCGCTGAGCCAGCGTTTGTCTCTTTTTATGCCTCGTTGAAGACGGCCTCCGAGACATTGAGACAAGTGGTCTTCGAATTTAGGTCCCGCAAATTCGAGAGCCGCCGTTGTGGATGTTTTTGTATAGGCCCGTTTGCAGCCTTCAAGTAGACGTCTAAGTACTGTCCTCAAGTTTGCTTCGTGGTGACTTTCAAGTGCAATGCGCTCTTTGCAGCAAGTGCAAACGTTCTGTGCTACAACTGCCAGAATATCATAGGTGTCATGGCTGGTTTTCGTCGAATCCACAAGTCTGCAAAAAATTCAGCGTCTTCGATTTGCCTGGTCTTGTGGACTCTCCGAGCAGCAAGCCTCTTCGTTATTTCCCGAGCTGGATCATTTAGAATCTGCAATTAAAAACGAATCACAACTCCTTGAGCTCAACGTCTTAGAGATTCACACGTACACTGTTTCTTTATTAATATATAGTAAATTTTATACCATGCCAAATGACCACATTTTCAATCAGATGTTATTTCTGAAAATTTTCTGACATCGCACTGTAATGTATTATGAAACCGTTCTCAAGACTGAATATTTCAATGAAGGTATGCTAAATTTTGCTACATTTTCTACTTTTCGGACCCCACATAATATTAAATTTTATACTATCGCGAAAATCAACACATCATCAATAAGATCTTTTTTTTTTTTGTAGAAGATGCTACCATTCCAATGTAATCTCACGTTTTAACGTTTCCAACACTGGACAATTATCTACACATACCTTCAGCGCTCACTTATAGCAGGCTTATAGTGAACATTTATTTGGCAAATCCTCAATTAGTAAGAGTCACTACCTTCCCATTAGTTCTTCATATTTAAAGGGAATGCAACGCCTTCAAAAAGCCAACATGCGCCCTCCCAGGTAAATTAGTAAAGCCAAAGATGCCACACGAGGTACCCCGTATCAAAGACGACAATTTTATTTCTTCTACTTTTTCCGACAAAGTAATCCAGTGCTCTCTGTAAGCTGGACATCTCATTCTGACAAATTTGATAAGTTCATCTACATTCTCCAAGAAAGAACAAAGCGCATCGTACTTTTATTGTTCTTACTTTTTTTTCGAACTCCCGTTCCCCGCCGACACATGCACGCGTAAGAGTCTGATACTGCAGCTTCCCGGGAGCATCGCTGTAGCAGCAGAAGGTCAGCATGCCGTGACACTTTCCCATCATATCTATTTCTGCTTGCTGCTCTACCAGTCGTCCTGACAGCTGTATCCGACATCAAGAAATGTTCGTTGTTGAACACGCTTCCCCATTTCCGCCCAACATCGCAATGACGTTACCTCCCAGAACCCAGCGACAGCCAACGACAGCAGCGATGTGCTTGGCTGAGCGTGCGAGTCTTCTTTTTTTTTTTTTTTTCTACTGCAGCACGGTGAAGGCTCATGCCCACTTTCTGCTTAGATTTTGACTTTGTTCCCTTTGAATCTCCTTCACAGTAGCGGCTGGCTAGGCCAGAAAGATGTCGTGCGAGGACAAGCAAAACTCGTTTATTTCGTGTTCGGAAACACATCACTGCTACGTTGGCAGTGCCTCCCTTGAATGATTGGAAATGCTCCCAATCACAGGTGAACAGTTATAATAAATATAGCCGGCATGTAGACACGAAATTCGGGTATTTGCCCCATCAGCAAAACGGGTGCACGCGTGTGCGTGTCCATTTTTTGAAGCATTTGTTTGCGTGCTGCAGACATGTATTTAAGCTATCTATCTGCCCGCCTACGGTTGGGGGCTGTCGTGACCACCTTCTTAACTCGGGGTAGACTAAATTTGTACAGCAGACTAAGAGGGTATGATGATAATGACCGTCTGGTAAGGACACCAATAATCCTGTCGATTACGCCATCAAAGTCTTTACCCAGACATGGTGTGGCACATTCCCGTATATTACGGGCCACAGTATGCCGGTACGCGCCACAGGTCATTGAGAGTTCATATCTGCCAAGGAACGATGGAAAGCAACAATGGTAATTTTAACGCGAGAACGGTACGAAAAACTGACATTGATTGTGTTGACCCAACGATTTTAAAGATTGAGTATCAGGTTTGTAGAAAGAATTGCACCCAAGAATTCTGCATGGTAATCAAGTATTCTATCACAGAGCTCCTTCAGGTCTCTAAACTTTGTTGGAAAATGACCCTGTGCAGGCATAATGTTGGTGAAACGTCTATTGTGGTTGTAGTGCTGCCCATCCAAGTTTATAGATATGACACAGGCATCAAGTGGGTTAGCGTCCAGTGTAGTTTAGCGCCCCCACTGTAGGTGGCCTACGTAGCACTATCCAGGGCTACCAGCATGGTAAAGACAAGCGCTAGATTTCAGCTGACCACTTCTTGTGTTGGTAATACCCGTGTAGCCCCTGTACTCATTACACAAGAGGAAACATTTGATTATGAAGACATATGCGACTGTTCAACATACTTGTCCATGTCTGTCCGTATAACACTTGTGCATACGTTTGGCATCATTTCGTAACAATTCGCTTTACAAAAACATTACACCCCAGTCACTCTACATCTGCATGTTTTACATGAGATTGACTCTCCGGGTACGTGTGATCTTTCTTTCTTTTTTTCTCTCTTTCTTTCTTTCTTTCTTTCTTTCTTTCTTTCTTTCTTTCTTTTTTTCTTTCTTTCTTTCTTTCTTTCTCATTTTGTTTCTTCCTTTCTTTCTTTTTTCTTTCTTTCTTTCTTTTTTTCTTTCTGTTGGGAAAGAGCATTGCTCAACGCTCCTTCCCAACAGTTTCCTTCTTCCATGACAGCAATGAAAGGTACATTCATATGCTCTGCAACGCAACACTTCAATCGCTAAAGACAACAGCGAAGGTAATGAGAGAGAGAGAGAGATAGAATTTATTTACAGAATGGTAGAGAGGTTGGCCTGAGCTGTAGTTTGCTCTGGCCTGCTACTGTACACTGGGGAAGGGTGACTGGGGAGTGAAAGAGTGATGAATGACGATGGTAAGGTAGAGAGATGATATGTTCTTATTAGGCTGGGTAACTCTACAGACGTGCATCCAGTCCAGTGGCTTCTAAGAAAGCGATGACGGCTCGTATAACCACATGTGTGCTGCTGGCGTCAGGCCAAGGACCTGACACAGCCTCATCGGTTAATGTTCGACTAATATATCGGTCAATCGAAGATATCAGTTGCTGACGTTCGCTTGCACTGTGCTGTACAGTCGCAAAATATATGTTCGAGCGTTTCTGGCAACCGACAGTGACCACAATTGGGACCTGTGTCATTACAGCCAATCAAGTAAGTGTAACGTCTCGTGTAAGCCACACCGAGGCGAATGCGGTGGATAATGCATGAGATGCTTCGCTTTAACTTGTGAGGCATACGAAACTTCATTTCCGGGTCCCATTTGTGCAGCCGCTTGTGCTGGTGTTCTGGTTTCTGCCATTGCTCTAAGATAGAGTTGCGCATTACGCGTCGAAGTAGGATGTCAGTATCTTGTCGAGAAAATGTGATGCACACTTCCGGGGCATTATTTAAAGCTCTCTTAGCTTCAGCGTCCACCTCTTCATTGCCCATTATGCCACAATGAGCAGGTATCCATTGAAATGTTACATGATGTCCATTTCTTGTAGCAATGCCAAGAAGCTCTGCAATTTCAATCGAGAAAGTATGATATGGACCTTGTCTCATGAAGCCATCGATGGTTTGAAGAGCAGCTTTGGCATCGCACAGTATCGTCCATTTACGAGCGGGTTCTGTCGACACGAAACGTATTGCCTCTCGAATAGCAACAAGTTCCGCGGCTGTTGATGTGGTCTTGTGATCTATCGTTAAAAGTCGCTTTTCAGGAGCATAGACCCTACTCGCAGTTTTGGGCATCGAACGAGGTCCTTTTATTTTTATATAAGGACAGGCACCTTGCCCATTTCTCGTTGCCATCCTATTCTTACAAGGAAACGTATGATTGTGGATATTTACGATGTTTACATGCGATGGCAATGGCTGACACACTGGCGGGCTGTGACCAGTCTTTATCCACTTCGTAGTCTTTTCTTCCAAGCAGAGACCCTCTACCGCTTTATGCCCCGATCCCACTACTGCCTTGTAGCACTATCTATCTATCTATCTATCTATCTATCTATCTATCTATCTATCTATCTATCTATCTATCTATCTATCTATCTATCTATCTATCTATCTATCTATCTATCTATCTATCTATCTATCTATCTATCTGTCTGTCTGTCTGTCTGTCTGTCTGTCTGCCTGTCTGTCTGTCTGTCTGTCTGTCTGTCTGTCTGTCTGTCTGTCTGTCTGTCTGTCTGTCTGTCTGTCCGTCCGTCCGTCCGTCCGTCTGTCTGTCTGTCTGTCTGTTACTAGCAGCCTCAGATCGTTCTGTGTTGCTCAGTATAGCGATCATTGCGCGCGTGTCACATTTGCCAGTCTGTCAGACATATAAAGGATCAACCACACTATTCGCTGCATCACTCAGAACTTTTGCGTTCAAAAGATCGTATATTACACTTTGGTTCACACAATTTTGCTGCAATGATTATTCCAATAAGCTTTGCGCTAGGCAAACTTGAGCAGTTTACACAGCGAATAAACATTTGGTAAGCGTGGGGCCTTACATACTCCCATCTTCCCTTAGCATATTTCGTCGTTAACCATGCAGCTTAGATTAGTTTCATATAATGTCTTCGTTCACTGCACAACTTTGAAAAAAAAACGTGAACAAATGTTGAATGCGTGACCTGGCTTCGCAACGCGAGGTGACATCGTGTTTTTTTCTTGGTTGTAGTTAACGCAAAACTGTTTTGATAAGTCCATCTCTCTTAACAAAACTGTCACGGTGTTACGTTCCAAAATCACGATATGATTATGAGAGACGCTGTTGTGGACGGCCAAAGAAATTTTGACCATCTCGTGTTAACGTTCCTCCTAAATCTACGGACCTCTCAAGCATTGCGCCTACATTTAAATGTGTCCAATCCGGCGGAGTTTGGATTTCGCGACCTTCGTCTCAGCATTGGACTGCCATAACCACGAGGCCACCAAAGAGGACAAGAACAGAAGAATGAAGGGACATCCGGTGCAGATGGCGCATGAGCTGACATTAGCAAGTAAATTTATTATCAAAGCGAATGTCACTTATGAGGAAGCCTAAGTAACGATGTGGAACTTTTCTCATTATATCAACGTTAAGTGTGCCCCAGGCACGAAGAATGACCCACATCAATCGCGCCAATAGTTCGCACTGCTGTATTTTTTTTCGTTAATCTCTATAATACC